CAAAATTAATGTATAAAGGCTTTTTGTGGAATTGATTCCTATAAAGAAAAGCGAGTAGACGTTGATATGGATATAATAGAATATTGGAACGGTAAGAAATATTGCTTCCCTTGGCTTCGAAAACTTGCATTTGCCATTCATTCGGTGCCCGCCACACAACCCTGCAAGAACAGTGACTATAATTTGACAAATCATTTGAGTGGCAAGACTGATAGAGATTTCTGTCACTGGCTACCTACAAGTTTCTATCAAATTCTAAAGGGCAGTATGAAAAATCTGATGTAAACATTGGTGTTCCGTCTTCCTCCGACTTATGGCATTATTTAGTTGTCTCTTTTTAACCAACGCAAAGTTTTAAAATGTGTTAGTAAGATAAATGAGAATGTGTTAGTTTCCATCACACATTTCTTGTAGGAAAGTTAGTGTTGAGCGAGCGTTTTCAGCCTTGAAGCTGATTTAATGGATTTGCGTTATAATCTGTCTGAACATAATTTGGAAAACATTTGCCTTTTGAAGTTTTATAGAAATATTATTTCACATATATGAATCTTTTAAATAAAAGTAGTCTTTGAAAAAAGCCATAAGTATGAGTATCTTATTTTTTTGATATAATAGACATTATCCACGTAAGTATTTTATATTCTATACAAAATAAATTCATATACCTGGTAATTAAGTAATATTTTTAATTTGAATATATTTGAATAGACGACATTCCTCATTTAGATATCTCACTTTGAAACCTATTTTAAACCTCTTTCATTTGATACCAAACTTGTTTAATTTGGATAAGCGGTTTTTTTAATTATTACAAAAGACTTTTATGTTGGCCTAACAAGTATTATTAAACTATTGAACCCGTATGGCGCTTAAACGCCAAACCCTATTGAAAAACCTAACAAAATATTTCAAATATTTTTTTAAACAGGTGGCAACCCTCCTACATGTAAATAAGAAATAAAGCATTTTCCAAACCATTTTCGTTGATACCCATATTGCAATTACTCATATAACTTTTTAAATAATTTGAATAATTCTTACTTCTGTAAGGGTAGCAACTTCGAAAAACTAAAACCTCACGGCGCATCTACAGCCCAAGCCCTTTAATCTTACACCTCACTTTTCAAAATCGAACGAACGGTGCTCATCAAATGGCATTGATTATTAAATAATTTGAATTAAATTTTTTAACAGGTAGCAACTATTTTCGAAAAAAATAAAACCCTGTTGCACATCTACAGGCCAAGCCCTTTAATTGCACACTTCCCTTTTGAAAATCGAACCAACGGTGCAGATCTGATGACCTGGACTAAAAATTACTTCGCGTATTAATTATATAAATTATAAAAAAAGAAGTATAAAGAGGTGGCAACCCTCGGTTTATATATTTGTGTGTATATATAGATTTGAATAAGCGGTTTGCAAACGTCAAGCTGTGAGGTTGTACTTTATTGTGCTCTGATTTTGGCTTTCTATTTGCTAAGCTTATTGTGCTAATTCTGAGTTAAAGCAGTGATATAAAGTGCTTATGAGCATCTAAGTGTGAAATAACTGAAGCTAAGTGAAAGTTATTGTGTTTTATATTAAACAAAATTTAATTTAATTTCACTAGCATATTCTAATCTTGCCGAGTCATTTGTTGCAATCATTGTTGTTGTATCCTTTGTAGTTAATGAATTCATTTTGTTTTTGCATATTTATTCTACTCTTTTTGTTTACTTCTTTTAGTAATTCTTGTCACTGCTGTTTGCGTTGCGTTTATTAAGCGTCATAATTGATACTCAAACTGTTCGCTACATTTGTTTAAAGCTATTTACATCAGCTCCTTAACTGTTATAATTTATTCGTTTGTCTGTTTATTAACGAGTGTTATTACATACATATTTCAATATGAAGTGCGATCTTGATACTTGCCAAATTAAAAGCGATTCTGAACGCTACTTATCGTGACTGACTTCAGTAAAGCATTTGACAAAGTGTGCCACTCGTTGCTCATCTATAAATTTGATCTTCTTGGTCTTCCACCTAATTTTCTACGTTGGATCTCTTCATACCTCTATGATAGATCACAAAGGGTAATGTTTAAAAATACTATCTCTGACGTCATTGATGTTACTTCAGGAGTCCCTCAAGGTAGCCACCTAGGCCCGGTTCTGTTCTTGCTTTTTATAAACGATATTTCTACAGATATACAATTTACCAAATTTTTAATGTCTGCAGATGATGTAAAGCTTTATAAATCGTACGTTTCAATTAAAGAAAGGTCTTTGCTACAATCAGATTTAAACAGCATGGCTTACTGGTGTCAAGTAAATCTTATGCCTCTATATCTTAAGAAATGTAAAGTAATGTGCCTCTCGCGAAGAGCTGTTCATCCTGCTTCTTATACAATAGGTAACCATAACCTGGAACAGGTATACAATTTTGTGGACCTTACAGTCAACAAGGCTAAAGATGTACTTGCATTTGTGAAACGATGGTCAAATGAATTTTGTGACCCTTATATCACTAAAACCCTGTTTACAACATTAGTTCGGCTAATTCTGGAATACGGTTCGGTGGTTTGGAATCCAAGGTATGAAATTTACTCATACAATATAGAATCAATTCAAAAACAATTCCTACTTTTTGCTTTAAGAAATTTCCGATGGAATTCTCAATATAACCTTCCACCTTATACGAGCTGATTAAAACTTATTAATCTTCCTACACTTTCCAGCTGCAGGCAAATGCTTGGTACAATATTTATAGTTAAATTACTGACAGGCTCAATTTCAAGTCCGCTTCTTCTTGGCGAAGTTAACCTTAATGTTCCATCCCGGGTATCAAGACACTTTTGCCCCCTATTTCTGAGAGCTTTTAAAACTAATTTTGAATTGCACGACCCACTCCGTTGCTTATGCCAGGATTTTAACTCTCATTCCAGTACGTTTGATATATCAGATCCGCTTTTCAGCATTAAGAAATCGATACTGTCCTCTCTCAATAAATGAATCATTAAAATAAAGATCATTAGATCTCGACACTTAACAAACTCCTGCCTATCGTGACTCAGCGCAAAAATTTAAAATAAATACTGGTTCCGTACGTCATGCGGACTGCGCCCCTCATGCGTATGGGCGAGAATGGATTATTATTATTATTACGAAAGGACTTTTTATCCGGACTTAAAAAATATTTGGCCAAATTTAACTTTTATTGCTGGACTTAACAAATAAAAGTCCGGGTTGACTGATTATTTTATTTCAAATAAAATAAAGGTCCAAAGAAAAATTTTTTCTAAGGACTTTTATAACTTTTATGTGCACTCCCGTCTAAATCTATTGATTTCGCAGCTGAATTACACCAATTGACTGATCCTAGCACCTAGAAAATTTGGCACGTGTTAAAAAGAAACAGGAATCAGTTATTCACTCTCTACACTAATTCACGACATTACACAAAATCAACAGAAAACTAAGGATGGCAAAATCATCCACATTGTAAAATGAGCAACATTGTAAAATGTGGTAGATTTTAAGCTTACGGCGGTAGATGTGGTAGAAACGCAATTTAGCAAAAAAAGTGGTAGATCTACCACAAAAGAGGTATAGTCCCTCGCGCCGGTTGGACGGGAAAGGAGGGTAAAATAGTTGGGAATAATTAATTAAAATAATCTTTAAAAAACAACAATACACAAAAGGGTATATAGTGTTTATTTAAGAAATGGATATTAGTACATATTTATCACTGAAAACGTTTTTTTTTATTGAAGGATGGAACTATTGGTGCCTAAGGGGTAATGAAGTGCAACGCGAAGGCTGATCTTCGGATGTGATGCCTTTTCACCTCTCACTATCAATTAACGTCAACCTGTTGAGGAGCAGATAAGGGAAGGTGAAACATCTCCCCTGGCTTGACCCTGCATTCGTCAACGGGCTACCCCAGTTCCACAATAGTTTTGATTTGTTGGCTTTGAGCTGGTGGTTGCGGTATTCTGTTACCTGAGTATATAGTGGTGACACCCTACAGAAATGGCTTTCGGGCAAACGCCGTGACGGCTTCTGTCCCGCTAAAACCCTGGCAGGCCTCGAAGTTAGTTCTGATCTCGTCGCCGTTAAGTTTGTAGTTGAAGTTAACGGTTGATGTGCCCTCCCTTACTTTGCACTGGATCTGGCTCGGACCCCTTACTGCATAAGGGTTGACCCCATTACCACCACACCACATTACCTCCCTGTTTTCATAGATCCTCATGATAAAGTGGAAGAAGCAACAACAGTTTATAAGGCGAACTTGGCACAGTGCGTAGGCCACTGGCTGAGTTTGCTAGGGTCGTTGGATTGAATCCCACTGAAGAAGTCTGATGAGGAGATGTGGTGATCTCCGAAATAGCAGCTATAACTTCTACAACTTATAAATTATTGTTGGTTTTCCACAATAGTTTTCATTAAAATAAAAGGCTCATGCTCAGTAAAATTGTTATAAGGTCATAAATAACAAAAACAAATAACTTAAAGACGAACTCACCTAAAAATTAAACATTCTAAAAATAGAATTATTAACAAAAACCAACAACCGCATGATGAAGTGTTAATAGCGGCGGAATAGCTGCGCTTGATTACAGTAGGCTCACATGAAAAAATGGAAAAAGCAACAACAGATTATAAGGCGAACTTAGCGCAATGTTTAGGCCACTGGCTGAGTCAGCTGAGGCCGTTCGACGAATCCCACGAAGAAGTCTGATGTAGTGATCTCCGAAATAGCAGCTGTAGCTTCTACAATTTATAAATTATTGTTGTTTTTCCACAATAGTTTTCATTAAAAATGGCCTCAAGCTAAATAAAATTGTTGAATGTAATTGTTATAAGGCCATAATTAACAAAAACAAATAATATGTATTTATAACAATGCATTACACATGATGCAAAATTTTTAGCAAAAGTAGCACTCGCACCCCAATGGGGTAATTTATTTATTTATAATTTATTGTATAACAAAATATTTGTTTATCTTATTTTAAGGAAACTCACAAAGGAAATTATATTATAGACCAGTTATGTCACCAGTTAAAGATAAGGGAAAAATACTACTTTGGAATGCGTTATGTGGATAGTGGCACACAAAGGGTATGCAAACTAGATTACCTAGAACTTCACTTTTAAACAAATACATTTTACAGCAATGGTTGGATTTGGAAAAGCTTATAACTAAACAGTGTAAAGGTTAATTTGAATAAATTCCATAATTACTTTAAAAAATATTCAAAAACTGATTTCAGATGTCAACCCTTTGATATTCTCCTTCCGTGTAAAATATTATCCGGCGGATCCATTTCATTTAAGCACTAATGCCAGGATTTTGCTATTCAAACAACTAAAACGTGACTTAAATCATGGGCGACTTTATTGTTCAAATGATGAGTTTATTACTTTGGGAGCTTTGATAGTGCAAGGTACAATTTGAGAAATTTGATTACATAAATCTAAAAAAAAAAATTACAGAGGAATTAGGAGACTACGATGGGAAATTGCACTCTGCCAATTACGTTTCAACCTTTCGAGTGTCTATTCGACAGACCGATGCAATCGAAAAAAAAATTATGAATAAATACAAAGGAAGAAAACCAGGACAAGAGCCAAGTGCTGTTATAGATGAGTTCCTAGAAATAGCACGCAATCTTGAGGCATACGGCATCGAACCACATTATGTTAAAGACCATCATGGCAACCAACTATATATCGGAGTAAATTATATGGGTATTAGCGCTTTTATTTCAGGCAAGCGCTCACAACTCTATCGTTGGAACGAAATTCGAAAGTTAAACTTCGAGGGAAGAATGTTCATAGTCCACTCCGTCTATACTAATGCGAGTAGAGAACTTGTGAGTATAATTTTGAAAAAAAAATAATTTTAATACATACACACGCTGTGGCAGACAAGTAGCTTTAGTGAGCTACAGTATATTTTGCTAGCTGCCCATCCTTCTTTGCACGAAAAACTTGTGCACTTAACCGAAAAAGCACTTAAGCGAATTTTCTTTACTACTTCAATGAGGAAGGTATCCGAATCCCTATGAAACCAAATAATGGAGGAGCACTTACCACGTAGAAATTACTGCAAGCGAAATTTTTACCGAATGGTATCTAATTATCTATATAACTACATTAATTGATAGGCATTTTCGTTGTTCTGCGAGATGAGCACAATAAATAAAAGCTTGTAAAATTAGGTAATTGTAGGGCCAGTGCAGGTAAACGTAATACTTTCTTTGATAGTTAATAATAGTTGCACAATTTTTAAGGCAGGTATCGCCAATGTGCAGGTATGTTGAATGCATCTATCGGAGGAGTTTCATTATAAATGTTAAAAATAATGCCGCTAATGCGCATTTTAGAGTAGATATCTTAAGCATAAAGACAGCAAAGCAAAATATACTGTAGTGACTCTCGGTGGGTCGGAAGTAGTTTTAAATACAAGTTCGGTTTTGTTGAGTTTACACCTAACCCGTTATTATTAGTCCAACTCTCTACTACTTTCAATTTTATCTGCATAATGTCACATAGTGTCTGTGGAAATTTACCGCTTACAGCTAGTGCAAGATCATTCGCATACTCGATAGCCTTACATCCATCTGCTTCCGTGACAGACAGCGGTGTGTTTACCGCTGCGACCCATAAAATAGAGGATAGGACTCCCCAGGGATGCCAAATCCCACACAACTGTTCACCCTGCATCGCAGCACTTGCTTTACAAGCGCGAGCCATGCACAGGCTCGTCAGCGCTGCGGTTATCGCATCAGCTATTATGTTGTTGAAGGCGCCTACGATATCTAGGAAGGCTGCAAGCGCATATTGTTGGATGTCTAGTGATCCTTCTATGTGTGATACTATTTCATGTAGCGCCGTTTCTGTAGATCTACCTTTCATATAAGCATACTGTGTAGTTGAGAGTCCGTCACCAACCGACTATCTGATATGGAGCACCACCAGTCCCTCCATAACCTTCAGTGGAAATCTTTTGTGTTATTTTGGGACACCTTCCCCACCTTGGGGACCACTCTCAATTACCTCTCCTCTTAGGGATATGATTAAGAGCTGACACTATCTTAATAACTGCATGTAGCCACGCTGAGCTTTGCCGTAATGTTTTTTTTTCAGCTGTATGGGGCGACGCCAATTGGACCTGGTTATTTATAAAGCTAGAACGCCCCTAAAGACCAGATTACACTTTCCCAAGTGAATCTCCAGTGACTGAACAGTTTCCAATTACAATTAGCTGCTCTGGTCTACCGTCCGTTGCCACCGGGAAGTGCGTGCTTAGAAGCAGATCCAGTAATTGCTGCTCGGTTTCATTCCGTGAAGCATCAGGTCTTTGCAAGCATCCTGGGGTAGCGTTTGCTTGTAGATCTGCCAATGTTCCTGAATACCAGATACAGTTCCCTGATTTAAGGTTTTCGTGCCGTTTCTGCGTGCTTCTCTGATTACTTCATTCCACCAGGGCGCTTTTTTCTACCACAGTGCTTCTTTTTGGGGCACGCTGTGTCTGTAGCTTTAGTACAGGCTCCCATGAAACGGTCGACCAGATACTCCAGCTCCACTAGGTTTGTTGGAGTGACTGGTTCGCTGTATTGTGGCAAGAGCTTTTCGAACTCTTTCCGATACTCATACCAGTTGGCATTGCGCAAATTTCTAGTTTGAAGAATTTTGGAAAGCACTCCTACTACCTCGAATTTGATATAGCGGTGGTCAGAAAAGGAGTGGTCCTCAAGCACCCTTCACCTCCCGACCAGTCACTCCACATTTTCAAAATTAAGGACAACGTCCAGAACCTCCCTTTTTTGTAATAAAAGTGGGGCATTTCCCCTATTTGCAATAATAAGCTTAAAGCTAAGTATGAAATCAAAAAGTGACTCACCCCGCTCCTTATCGGCGCTGCTGCCTTAGGTGTATTGGTGAGCATTCGCATCACCTCCCAAGATTAGTTCCTCCTTCGACTAGTTTGCTAACACATGTTGTTGGCACCTCCATGTCCGTCGGTAGTTGTATCTTTACTGGTCGCCGGTTAATAGTTAAAAATTATCAAAACAATCATGATTGATGGTAATTAAAAAAATAATCAAAAATAATCAAAACAATCAAATAATTATAAATTACCAAATAATCACAATTAATTAAATATTTTTTTAATTATGTGATTATTTTTAATTGTTTGATTATTTTCAATTATTTGATTGTTTTTAATCATTTGATTGTTTTTAATTTTGATTTGGTTTGATTATCTTCAACTATTAGATTATTTCGAATTCTATGATTATTTTTGATTATTTTTCCAAATAGATGGAGCTGTGTTTGGCAGGCAAACTGTTATAAGTTAGTATTAAATAACTGAAACCAAATTCACTGTACGAGTAAATGTTTGTACTGTAGTTTACTGTCATGGCTATTCACTAATACTTTCAGAAAAAATTTTGTAGAGGACACATTGGAGAAGATCTTACATATAGACATAGGCATGTATGTTTATTATTTGCTGTTAAATATGAAATATATTTCCTGTTTTCCTTCTCGAGATATTACATTTTTTCACGAAAAAGTTTAATATCTACACTGCGCGGTGTTTAACAATAACTTTTAATTAGTTAATTTCTTATATATTGTTCACACTACAGCATTAACCACAGAAATTACATTCCCGAACATTATACAAGTTTTTTGAAGTGAAACTTCTTAGGCGGCGGTATCGCAAAAATGGAGAGCGAAATTTTTAAAACTGAAAATGTGATAAGGAATATATAGGTAGTATAGGGAAGGGGAAAAAAGAAATAAAGCCACGCATGACGGGTACGAGTACCTACATATGTATATATGAGTTAAAGTTTTATTTAATAAACTTCATTTTTTTTAAAAGCTCGCGGACTTTTGTCCGCTCATGTGTTTATTTATTTGAATCCAACTTAAGATTAATTACAATATATTTCTTACTTCTACATTACACCTATGTCGACCACCAATTTGCTGACTGTTGTTGACCGTAATGTTGGTTACCAATATGCTGACTGTTGTTTACCGTAATATTGTTGCTGATCGATACATTTAGTAATTTGATGAAATGTTCGTGGAATGCTGATGCAGCGTCTGCGGTTATAACGAATTCACCGGATGTGTTATCGGTGCCACTAACCCATGGGGTTATTGTCCAATTCGAGGTATTGTAAGGTGTGGTGTTAACTCCTCCCCTCTTAAGTATGATTGTCCTCAATCATTAATAGAAGGGTAAGTCGTTGAATTTTACGTATGTTGGAATGTCATTACTTTCTTGTGGCGGGCTACCTGTTTTGGGCTTCAATTCTTCCTTCTCGATCTATTGTATCTTTATTGATCTTTTCTTTAGCAAAATGAAAAGTGCGATTGTTATCACGGATGTTATGGATATTAAGCCTCCGATGGATAGTGTTGCCTTTTTGAGAGAATTTATTTTATGTGTGTTGTTTATATGTAAGTCCTTTAGAGACTCGAGCGAAAGTATCTCGATATGGTCCTTCTCTAATGGAGTTGGCTGCAATATTGCTGGGATAGATTTAATTGGCATTACTTCTATATTACTATATACTTTATTGTTGATTCTAATGGTTGTGTTGTAAAATATTACAACATGGGTCCCGTTTATCTCCTGTACCATTTTATCGGCTTCTATTTTACCGCTGAATTTATTGAGTAGAATTACGCCTTTATTTATTTTTTCTATTGTTGGTATGTGGTGGTCATTGGTGGTATTACACGTAGAATTTAAGCTATTTATTATACTAGATATACATAAATCATTACTAATATCTATGACATCTGCTTCTTTGCAAATCATTAAATCATTGTAAGTTTCACATTTATTTTTGATACCATATAATTTATCTTTTCCTTTTAGAATTTCTTTGTATTTTGTTTCAATTATAATATTGTTCATTTTCTTAACGGGTCTTACAATTATTCTTTTGAATGTTTCACTTAATGTTAGGGGTATTTTAATAATATAAATGATTTTCATATCTTTACTCATAACGTTTATTTTTGCTAATCTTAGTGCATCTTCGGCACTTGTAAATGGAACTTTTTCCATTTTTAGTTTGCTAATTGTAAATTCGATTTCTTCCTTACTTAATAATACAGAGTTAATTATATCATTCTTTGCCCATTGAATGGCGTATTCTATATTAATTAGTTCTTCTTTTATTAATCTAATTTTGTTTTGCAAATTTACTATAGTTTCCATTACAATACTACCATCTTTTCTGATGGTGTTCAACATCTTATTTACTATACCAGTTATATTATTTATACGTTTTTCAAATACATTGTTTATTACTACTTGGTTGTTATTGTTTTCATTTAAATTATTCAAATTATTAGTTATTATATTTAAGTCTTCGTGATCAGGAGATCCGGCTATAAATTTCCATGCCGTTCCTAATATATCAATTGATCTTTTCCTTCTAATCTCATTAATAGGTTTTAGGGTATTAAGGATTTCGAACGTTTGGATTGTTTCATGTTTTAGGACGGGATATAGAAGGTTGTCTTTAGGGATTTGGCCAGTTATTTCGTCGTAGGTTTCCGTCAGAAATTGTTCGTATTTTCCTAGGTCGATGAGATGAATAAGTCTGAATGTTCCGTCCTGTATTTTCGCTTGTCCATTGTCTATTGTTACTAATTGAGATTTACTATAGTCAAGAATTTGTATGTCCGATGAAGAAGTAGAGATCGTAATAAGGAGAATGAAGAGTTTGTAGTGGTCCATTTTATCTGAAAACTAATTAGGGCTATTCGCGATCCGGTGCAAATGGCCTAGCATCATTGCATTGCAAATTTGTATTGCAAATTATTTGCAATACACA